ATCATGCCCTCTTTTGTTGTGGAGCACAGGCTCTGTAGTTGTGGCTCACGGGCCTAGTTGCTCCACAGCATGTGGGATCTTCCCAGACTAGGGCTCGAACCCATGTCCCCTGCATTGGCAGGCAGATTCTCAACCACTGTGCCACCAGGGAGCCCCAGGTGGGATTTTAATAAACTGTTATCACTTCCAATCCTAGGATCCCCAAAACAATAACTATAAATTAGAAAGAGACAGAGTTTCTCTCCTTAAAAAAATGAGGAAAGGGCTAACTTGGTGGCACAGTGGTTGAGAATCCGCCTGCCGATGCAGGGGACATGGGTTCGAGCCCCAGTCCGGGAAGATCCCACATGCCGTGGAGCGGCTGGGCCTGTGAGCCATGGCCGCTGAGCCTGTGCTCTGCAACGGGAGAGGCCACAACAGTGAGAGGACTGTGTACGGCAAAAAAAAAATGAGGAAAAATATGAAGAATCTTGAACGCAAGTATTTTAAAAATCACATTTTTAACTGAAAATATTTTAAGATCACAATATTTTAACTTAAAGTACATTCAAATAGATTCACAAAAAGTCTTCTTCTCAGAAAATATATAATTATTCTCAGAAAAAAATTTCAAACTCTGACTATTGTATCCATCACTCGCTACAGTGAATTCTAGCCTGTAAAAGGCAGAGCACAACATTGACCAGAACCCAAGAAGAAATCATTTATATTCAACTTTTCCAAAACATGACACTTTTATTGTGCTTTTTTCTAAAGAATGCTTATCTGCCAAGAAATGAGCAAGGGCAGGAACAACCAACTATAACAAGAGAAAGGTGGTTTTTTCAGCATCACTTGTGATATATGCAGATTTATATATTTAAAATTAAAACATTAAAATTATAGCTTAAATGTTTAAATATTTGACCTAAAATAAAAGAAATAGATTTACCAGTTGTAGTTTCTCAAAGCTGAAAGGACTCCTCATCTAGAACAAAAAAAGACACCATTTGTTTGATATCATTTCGATGAATTATTAATTTTATCACAGCTAAGATGACAGCTAATATTAGAACATTGAATTCTTAATTTTCAAATGTGCAATAAAAAAGCAGAATAAACATAAACTGAGATGTGTTTTACATATGGGTTACATTGCTTATATATCCTATTTAAGAAAAATACCAAAGGAAACAGAAGGAATTAAAAATCTTGTCAACGCTTCTGATGAATTCTTTTACTCAGTACTTTCTATGCCACTTTAAAATATAAAACACAAATAACATTATGTATTGTCTGATAATACATGTGATTACTGAACACTAAAGTTATACATTATCCATACTGCAAGTCATCTTTGTCTAGTTCCAAGCAGGATAGTTAAATTACAAAGTGCTAATAAGACTGAGAAACATTGTGGTCTTAAAGAATTCACCTCTAATCCTTCCTGGATTATTTTATTGAGAGATGAAAACTATTTCTTCAGAATAGCTTCCAGTCATTTTTTTAGCCATTATGTTTTATTTCATAGAATAAAACTCAGAGAATTCCCAGTTTTCCTCAACTGTATATACTTGAAGTTTCAGTCCAAAAATGAGAATAGTATCTAAACAGCTCTATCACACTAGGGGCCAATGGTGTGTCCTTCAGATTTCTTCTCATAAACATCCACTGAACTCTTGAGCCTTCAAAGCCTTAACACTCGACTCCTGAATAAGAAAGTGTTTCCAGGTGTTGGTGTCATACATACTCCAGCAGTGTATAATGGAACCACTGCTCAGAACAAAGGGACAGTTACAGGAGATGGAGGAGGGGCTGTAGACTGATGGATATCTTTAGGACATAATTCCCTGTCAGAAGAAAGAAACCAGTTGTTCATCCCAGAGTTAACAGGGATTTAATCTGGATAAAGGGTAAGTTTACATCCATTAAAATATTTTTTTAATTATGCTGTTTACTGTTGAGGCACATGGAACAGGGAGTACAAAAAAGAAGATGGAGTTCCACAATAAACTTTTTTTTCTTTTCAGTGAAGTAGGACCCCAGGTAGGAAATTATATGACTTATAGATAGCTTATCTATAATGTAGACAAAAATTTTAGCCAGACATGCTTCTGTGATAATATTCAAATAAATAATGTTTAATCACTATTTTTACACTCCACCATTGCTTATATATGCCCCCACTGAAGGTTCTGTGTAACCTGCTAGATTATTAATTATTTTATCTAATAATTAAAACATTTGCTTTACATGTTATAATACATATCAAGTGACAAACCTACTAATCTAGTTCATACATGAAATAAGAATTAGCCTCTGTGTTCTAAGCCATCTCACTCTCATCAGCTCTGTAAAATAGATGCATCTATTTTTAAAAGATTAAATAACTTGCCCAATATGGCATAACTGGTAAGAAGCTGAGATAGAATTCAAATGTGTATCTGTGTGGATTCAAATCTCTTCTATTTCAGATAATACAGCTCTCAAAAATTCACAATGTATGTTAAACTATTAAATTGTCTGCGAACTCGATATTGTGTAAGTTAACTTAGCATTTGCTTCATTGGCTTTACATAATTTACTGAGTCCTCATAACAACCCCTGAGCTTTGTACTATTATTACTTCACTTTTAGTTGAAAGGGGGATGAGACATGAGAAGTGAAGTAAATTGCTGGTCACTAATAGAACTGGACTTTGAACTCAGGATGGTGACTCTCTCAATTGTGGTGTGGTATTATGCTCATGTGATAGAATATATAGATATAGGCATATATAACACTACATTCTAAACTGAAAATATTGAAGATTACAGGTAAGAAACTAACAGGCTCTGTGGCTCCTGGATTCATCAGGAAGACAAGATTTCAGTTGCTTCCTTAAACAATTGAGAGTTAGCTCCCTTCTAGAATGTGGTGGGTTCTCCTTTCTTCCAGAAAACACCCAGCTTTGAGACTCAGATCATCTGACTATCTCACCCAGTACCCCTCCATGTTATAGGTTTTTTTGGTTTTCGTTTTAACAGATGAAATGGGTCCCTCTCCCTCCTTGCTTAAAAGTTTCATTTGTAAGCTTGTCATTTTTTTCAATAACACTCCTGATGTAATTTCTGAGGATTTCAATATCCACATAGTCATAGATGATCCTACTGATACCCTAGTGTCTCCATGTTTTGAGCTCCCTTCTAATGATTTTGGCCTCTGCCTTTTTTCAGTCACCCACTCCTAACGTCGTATGTTAGACCTTGCTGTTACCAATAACTCAACTCTTTCCATAATATCAATTCAGAATCTCTCACTCTTGCAGCACCATGGTATAGACTTACAGCTAGTTTCTCAACTCCAACTTCTTCGACACATTCAAACATCCCACCATGTTTTCATTTTTCCTCACTCCCCTAAATCCTTACTTATTATCATATCTGGCTTAATTCCATGGCCCATTATCATAATCATTTCCTTACATATACCCTCATTTCTCTTGCCCTCTTCTCTCCTCCTGGCATTTAATTGGCAATGCCTCAACCTTAATTTAAACTCAAGTGGGCCCTTAATGTTGTCAGGCAATCACACTACTTTCCTCTAGTGCTTTCATTCTTTCACATTCCTAAATGACTATTTATTTTGCTCAATTTTCAGCAACTCATCCTCCATCATCACTCACCTAGATAACAACCTTGCTTCCTATTTTAGAGCAAGAACTGAAGCAATTGGAAAAGACCTCCTGGGACTCTGACTGCCATATTTATTCACCCACCACCATCTACTCAATCTTTCCTCTTCTTTCTATGCTCTTGGCTAAGGCCAGACCCTTTACTTATTCATTAGATCTCATATCTTCTTGTATAATGAAGGATCTCACACCACCAGTTCTCTCCTCTTTTTAATCATGAACTTTTCCTTGGCATTCTGGATCATTTCTGATAACATACAAACATGCACTTAATTGCCCCACAATTTTATCTAAAAACAAGTGAATGCTCCTTTTTATTTTGCCCTATAACTACTAGTCCCTTTCTCTATTTTTCTTTACAGCAAAACTCACCAAAAAGGTGTCTATATTCACTGCCTCCAATGTTTCTTTTTCTTTGAACCCACTCCAGTCAGGCTTTTACACCCACCTTTCTACCAGAACTGGAAATCAATGACCTTCAGACCCAAATCTGACAGCTAATTTTTAGATCTCACTTTATTGAACCTTTATTGTCTATCATTGGCAATAGACATTATGGGTCATGATATTTTCCTTGAAACACTTTCTTCATTTGACTTGCAGAGTGTCACATCTGCTAGTTTTTCTCCTACCTTAATTGTTGCTTTCCTTCTGTTTACTGTGTTGATTTTTCATCTTCTTCAAGCCTTCTTTTCGAACCTCTGTTTTCACCTAAGCTTTCTCAAGACTTATGGCTTCCAATATTATGAATAGGCTATATATCACCAAATGTTTATGTCCATCCAAGACCTGTCCCATGTATTGCATACTAATCCAACTGCATAGTGCTTACCTGTCCTTAAATATCTAGTAGGCAAGTCAAATTTAACAAATCCAAATACAATTCTTCATCGTCTCCCAGAAAACGTCTACACTCTTCATCATCTCTATTATGGACATTTAGTACTTCCTATTGCCTAGGCCAAGTATCTTAAAGTCAATCTTGATTTCTCCCCTTTTCTTTTCACTCCACATCAAATCAGTAAGCATATCCTGTTAGTGCTATATTCAAAATATATCCAGATTACAACCACTTCCATTGTAAGGCTTCTAGTCTAATCCCTATCTGTTCACACACATATTATTGCAATAGCCTCCAAACTGATTTTCCTTCCTTTGTTCTTATTTCATATGGTAGAAATGGCTAGGTTTATGTGTATGTTTTACTTGAAGGTGAATGCCCAGCCAAGAACTAAATTTCCCCGACTCCTAGCAAATAGGTGGAGCCATGTGGATAATTCTAGCCCATGGAAGGCAAGGTTATTAATTATGCAGTACTCATTTCTTATGCTCTCTTCCTCTTCTCCAGAAACCGTGGAGTGTTTTTGCAGAAGACCCTTCCATTGCAAGATGGAAAGAATATGGACCCCTGTGTCACTAATTGGAAGAGAGTGATCAAGAAACCTGCCCACCCAGAAACATCCACATTGGGTTTTGTTATGAATGATAAATACATATTTTATTAAGCCCCTGAGATTTGGGGGTTTGTTACATCATTTATACTATCTAACTTACACATTTTCTACATCCTATTTTTCACCAAGCTGTCAGAATGAACCTATTAAAACATAGGTCAAATCGCATCACTCTCTTGCTCCTTACTTTACTTTACTTTACTCAATCACACAGGCCTCCTAGCTGTTCCTGGCACCAACCACTACCTTCACTGCAAGCCTTTTACTTGCTCTTTTCTGTGCATGGAGTGCTGTGCGCCTAATTCTTTATATGCCTGCTCTCTCATCTCTTTAGTCAATCTCTTAGTGAGGCTTTTCCTTGACCTACTTATTTAAAATGGAATCTGACTTTCACTCTGACAACTTATATTACCCTTCTTGTTTGAACTTTCTCCAGAAGAGTTACTATCTCACACACAATATTTTTTTGTGGTTTTATGTTTTGTCTGCTTGAATCCCAGCACTTAGAACTGTGTCTAGAACATTCCAGGAACCCAGTAAATATTTGTTAAAGGATAAATTAGTTGAACCAATGAATTCTATATTTTTCATTTTTTCAAGCATTTAACATTTATTGACTTCAATACATTTGGGGTTCTTTGGCCTAGAGAACCCTAACCCACTCACATATACACATCCCATCCTTTTATCACACCCATCTTTCCAGTATCAATTTAGATATCACTTCCTAAAGCCAGAACCCCAATTTTCTTCTACTGATACGTCTCTTCCATTACCTTTCCTGCTCATCTGTTATCACAGAAGTTTTCATATGGTAATATACAATAGCCTATCTGTCTGTATTCCCAACTATATTTACTTTCCATGAGAGCAGAGATCATAACAGTGTGGTTCCGTCTTGCATCTCCACCATCTATTGCAGTTTATGGTTCATAAAGTAATAACTCATTAAACTTTCTTGAATTCAGAAGACTTAAAGTAAAACTATTTGGATTGGCAATTTAGAGATTTCTGATAATTATGGATTATGGTTTCATGGTATGAAGAGTGGTAGGAAGAAGCCAGAAGATTGAAGAATAAGTTTTTAGAGAAGAGTAGAAGCCGTTTTAAGTTTTTATGGCCCAAGGCATGAATCAAGGATGATTTTCTGGCACCAAGTGTTTACAGTGATGCAAGGAGTGTGTGGGCCAAGGGCCTTGAGAAGAGAGTATATTTTAACAAAGTACATGTGTCTGTACTTCTTTTTTCTTTTTTTGTTTTGTTTTGTTTTGCCATGCCCTGCAGCATGTGGGATCTTAGTTTCCCGAGCAGGAATCGAACCCATGCCCCATCCCATGGAAGCACGGAGTCTTAACCACTGGACCACCAGGGAAGTTCCCTGTCTATACTTCTTAAAGACAAGTTGAACCAATATCAAGCCCTGGAAACAATCATCCTGGTACTTCTTACTCTGAAAACCGAGTTGGTTATCCAGATTTGTTTGTGTAGCTTGCAAAATTATTTTTCAACAAATACTCACTCCTTTTTATACCCATCCCCAGCTTAATACTATGGTGGGCAGAATGTACTTTCCCACTCCTTGACTTAAATTGGATATTAGAGAATAGTATGGTGCGACCCTTGAAATATGCTTATACTGTAGAGCTTGTGTTCTCACACTCCTGTATTTCAGTATGAAGGGAAATGCCTTAAATATGTATTACTGCCAGTCCAAAGAAGACAAGAGAGATGTGAAGTAGATCTGAACCCAACCTACATATTGGAGCCAAGTCCAACTTATCCTAGCCAAGATCAGCCCAACTTTAGAGATCTGCAGACTATGACAGAAGTAAGTCACTGAGCTTTGGGATGGTTTTAATACATAATTATTGTAAAAAGAACTAATTTATAGAGAACTGTCCTTTTCCCAAACATTTTGAAAAGAATTGGGACCAGGACAGGGAAGAGGTTCTACTTTTATAACCCTAATGAAAATACTAGAAGTTTTACTGTCCTTTATGCTAAATCATTGAGGAATGGGGAAAATGTTGGAATAAATCACCTATTGAGTCTTTAACTTTTATAAAACTCTCTTAGATATCCCTTCCATAAAATTGTTACAGTCTTCATATACATTAAAATGGCAAATGAGGTTTCCACTTAAAATATAAATTCAAATGTTTCCAGTTGTGACCAAAACCCGCATGTATCCTTTGGAACTGGGGATCAACAGAATGAAACCACTTACTTGGAGCTTATAAATGTTGCCAGTTCCTGAAGCTGCTGACTGCATTCTGGGAGTTTAGGAATGTTTTAGGATAATAGCTAACTGCATGGAAAATGGATAGGTAAAGACTAAACTTCTTTCAAACATGATACAGTCTTAGAGCAGCCCATCCTTTATTGCCTCAGACGCATTCAGCACAACATTTTTGCAGCCGAGGTATCTTTGGCCACACAAAGCAGGATGTTATTCTCTTATATCTGCTGCCAGAGGGACTGGAAGAGCAACAGCCTTAAAGGAAGTGTAAACATCTTTCAGTTAGCTAAATGGAGTGTGAACTAGAGTTGCAATATTAAAGAAGGAGCCAAAATAGACAAACATACACATACACGCATGCACATGCGCGAACACACACACACACACACACACACAATCATCTCCTGGCTCTCTCTTTTGAGTCTATGAGAACTCAAACACAGTTCTATCAGTCTTTTTATACTGTATAAAGCATACCTTATTGGAATTTATTCTTGCTATGTAATTGATTTTAAAATAGCAAACATTTATATAGCTCTTGCTATATGTGAGCCACTGTTCTAAGCATTTTATTAATATTAATTCACATTATTTTAAAAATCTATAAGGAAAGTAATTTTATTATCTTCATATGACTCATGGTATAACTATATCACAGAGAACTTAAGTGATTTGCCCAACATTACCCAGTACAGGGTGGAAGTGAATTTTGATTCTGCAATCTATGTTCAAAAGTCTGAGAGAAGGCTGAATCAATATGGTGGAAGAGGAAGACATGGAGCTCACCTCCCCCTACAAACACATCAAAACTACATCTACATGTGGAATAATTCTCACAGAAAACTAACTGGAAACTGGCAAAGAACTCCTATACAACAAAAGCTGCAAAAAAGTTTTCCATGTAACTGGGTAGGATGGAAAAAAGGCAAAGTGTTGGGACTTGCACCCTGAGAAGGATCCGTAAGGAAAAGAAGGTCCACTCCGGCAGACCCTCACCCTGGGGGAGTGAGTGGGTCGAGCCACAGACTGGGCATCCCAGTCCTAAGGTTCTACACAGAGGATACAAGCTCCCCTGTCTGCTGGGAGAAACACTGAGACAGATGGGACTGGAAAAGCCTAGACTCCACTCACAAACAGTGTACGGTTGCACACGAACAGTGTGCAGCTTGTCAACAAACGGCAAAAAGAGCTCTGTACTGGCAGCTGGCTGCCACCTAGAGGTGCTCCCCAATCTGAGTGGGGTGTGGGATCCAGGCCCTGGGTCCTGGGAAAAGACTTGGTCTAGCTATGCAGAGATAGCCCAGGGGCCTGGGGTGTGGTCCAGGTGGAGCAAGCTGCGACCATTGTCAGCACTTATCCAAACAGCACCACAGGGACCACTGTGACCAGCACACCAAGGTCCCTTGTTCCCAACTGAGTGAGTGCTCTGGCCAAACCCACTCCATGCCACAGCTTGGCACTGGATCTGGGGCAGACAGGCCCTGGGAAAAGACTCAATCTAGGGATACAGGGATGGCCCAGGGTGTGGGATGATGACAACCATTGTTGGTGCTTACTCAAGGAGCACCTTGGGAACCACCATGTCAGCAAGCCACAGTCCTACTCCTAGGTGAGCAAATGCTCTGGCCCCACATACTCCATGTTGCAGCTTGGCACGGGAACTTGTACAGACAGATTTTGGGACAAGACTCAATCTAGGGATTCAGAGGAGGCTTGGGGGACTCTGGGGTATGATCCAGGCAGGGCACTGGCAGCAAACTTTGGTGTAGCTCAATCAGTGCCAACGTGATTGGCACTGACCTCTGACAGCAGCACAGCCACCTCAATTCCTGCAGCCACAACACACTGACCCCCAGCCCCAGCCTAATGTATGATCTTGCCCTGCCCACTTCACACCACAAACTTGCACTAGATCTAGGGTGCCCATAACAGGGGAAGAGACCCAACCTTGGGCTGCATCTGAGCTGAGCCATGGACACCTATACATGTAGAAAATCAGGGCTCTGAGTGCACAAATCTCACTTCAGCACTCCCCTTCTCTGAGGCAAAATATGCATTCAAAGAGAACAGAGCTTGTTCAATCCCAATCCTCAGGGCTTCTGCTCAGGCAACTGGGGAGCAGTGACAGGGCAGTGACCGTTACAGAACAGAGAGGAAGTCCACCTGACACCCTGTGAAGACTTTAGATCCTCCAGTACTAACTACAACCCCTATCAAGTTGAAAGTGACCAGCGCACCCTGAAGAAAGACAAGGTTGGGATCCACATCAAAAACAGCCCTTGCACCAAAGACACTGGATACACACAGTCTACATAGGGATGCTCCCACATAAAAATACCCCTTCAAGAACACAACAGATAACTATTTCTCCTAAATTCATAAAGACAGAGAAAGTTAAGTAAAATAAAAGGCAGAGGAGCTCTTCCAAATTAAAAGAGCAAGACAAAACCCCTGAAAGAAGGGGTGTGAAGGAGAGGAAGGCCATGACTAGGGACTCTTTCTCCTTGCTGCTCAAGAAATGTCTTCAGTTTCAGGATATGCCTTTCACATGAGTCATCTGAGTGCCCAGTTGTTTGGTGAAGTTGCCAGACCTACTGATTCCAAATCCATGAAAGTGGTGAAGCTGTTTAGTGAGCAGCCTTTGGCCAATAGGAAGGAGACTTATGACTGGTATCTAAGTCACAACACTTATTTTGCACTCATGGGAGCACTATATTTTCTTGACCTCTACAGAGACGAGCATCAGGACTTTCAGGATGAGCAGCTGCATCTGAAGAAGATTTGTGGAAAGCGGAAACCAAGGAAAGGAGAAGGGAAAAGAACAGCAAAAAAGAAATAGTGTTGGTCCATCAAGAGAGAAGACTTTTCCCTCAGGGACTGAGAGCAAGAGGAAGTGTATTTATTGTCCTTCCACATACTGGAGGAGTGTAAGCTTCCTAAATTGAAGGTTATTTGGAGGAACACAGTCATCTCCATGTTGAAGTCTAATCCAGCTGAATTGTGACTTGTTTCATGAACACATTCTAATTCTGCAAAATTATTTGCCTTGGTTCTGTAATCTGAGGTTTACCTTATTCCCCAAAGAAATGAATGCATGATTATTGTTGAATGACTTGTTTGGGAGGGGATGGGATGTTGGGGGAGTGGAGGGGAAACTCATTAAATGAACATTCTTATTACTCTCTTCTTGCTTCCCCACTTAACCAGCCCTACACTCTTTCATCTCTCTGGCTGTTCAGCCACTGTCTCACCACCAAGCTCACAAACTTTATGCACCTCTCCACCTACTCCTTTGAGAATATCTATAAGATAAATTTGTGGGATACAAGGCTGTGCCTGGTATGAAGGTATTGAATACCTGCTGTATACAAGCTACCACAGCCCTGGTAATACAATGTTTTGCAACAAACAAACAAACAACAACAAAAAACCCCAAAAGGCTAAATAAACAGAGATTATCAGTCTACCAGACATCAAGTTCAAAAAGGAGGTAATAAAAATTCTAACTGAATTAAGAAAGGTTATTGATATAAATGCAGACCATTGTAACAAGGAACTAGAAACCATAAATATGACCCAGTTAAAAAAAAAAAAGATAATTCAATTTCTGAGATAAAAAACAATGTAGAGCAATGAATAGCCAACTGAATGACACAGAAAAATGAATAAGTGATCTGGAAGATAAATAGAATAACGGAAATCACCCAGTCAGAACGGGAGTTGGAAAAATGAAAAAACATGAAAGCAACATATGAGATATATGAGATGATATAAAATGCACCAACTTACACGTAATAGGGGTTTAAGATGGAGAAGAGAGGGGGAATGGGATCAAAGATGTATTTGAAGAAATTATGGCTGAAAATTTTCCCACCCAAAGAAGGAAACATGTACAGGAAGGATAGAGGGTTCCAAACAAGATGAGCCCAAACAGACCCACACAAAGAGATATCATAATTAAAATGACAAAAGTTAAAGATAGAGAATTCTAAAGGCAGCAAGAGAAAGACAGTCATTTAAAAGAGAACCCCCATAAGTCTATCAACTGATTTCTCTGCAGAAACTTCGCAGGCCAGAAGGGAGTGATGTGATATATTTAAAGTGCTGAAAGGGAAAAACCTGCAACCTAGGATATGCTACCCAGAAAGATTATCATTTAGAATAGAAGGAGAGATAAAGAATTTCTCAGACAAGCAAAAACTGAAAGAATTAAGCAATACTAAACCTATCCTAAAAGAAATATTAAAGGGTTTTCTCTAAATGGAAAAGAAGCAGGAAACTATAGGAAAGGGAAAATCCCAATAATAATGACAAATAAATTTATAGTAAAGACTGAAGATCACTTAAGCCAGTACACAGGTTAAAAACAACAATAAAAGAATTGTAAAAGTGACTATAACTAAAATAAACAGTAAAAGAATAAACATGAAGATATAAACTAGACCATCAAAACCACAAAATGGGTCAGAGGGGAGTAAAAAATTGTAGATCTCTTAGAATGTGTTTAAAGTTGAATGATTATCAGTTTAAAACAAGTAGATACAGTTATGGGAAAACATACATAACCCCATGGTAATCATAAATCAAAAACATACAATAAATTCACAAAAACCTAAAAGGAAGGAACTTAAACATACTACAAAAGAAAATAAACCATAACAGGAGAAACAAAAAGAAGAAATGAATAAAAAAAATACAAGAACAAATGGAAAACAAAGAATAAAATGACAATAAATACATACATATCAATAATTACTTTAAATGTCAATGGACTAAATGCTCCAATCAAACTACAGAATGGCTGATTGAATTAAAAAGCCAAGAACCTGCAACATGCTGCTTACAGGAGACAAAAGACATCAAGGCAAAAGCCACACACAATCCGAAAGTGAGGGGTTGAAAAAAGATCTTTCATGAAAATGGAATGAAAAGAAATGACAAGAAAGCAGAGGTAACAATACTTATATCAGTCTATAATAAAAAATACACTTTAAAACAAAGGCTATAATGAAAGGCAAAGAAGGGTATTATGTAATGATAAAGGGATCAATACAAGAAGTCGGTATAACACTAGTTAACATATACACACCCAATACAGGAGCACCTAAATATATAAAACAAGTACTAAGAAACAAAAAAAAAAAAAAGAGAGAAATTTGCAATAACACAATAATAGTAGGGGACTTTAACACCCCACTGACATCAATGGACAGATCATCCAGACAGAAAAGCAATAAGGCAACACAGGTCTACATAACAGATGAAATGGACTTAATTGATACATACAGGACAATACATTCAAAAAGAGAAGAATACACATTCTTTTCAAGTGTTCACAAAATATTCTCCAGGATAGACCTCATACTAGGTCACAAAACAAGCCTTAACAAATTTAAGAGGATAAATATTGAAACAACCTAAGTGTCCATCAACAGATGAATGGATAAAGAAGATGTGGTATATACACACACACACACACACACAATGAAATGTTACTCAGCCATAACAAAGAATGAAATAATGTCATTTTCAGCAACATGGATGGAACTAGATATTATCATACTAAGTGAAGTAAGTCAGACAGTGACACATATGATATCACTTATTTGTAGAATCTAAAAAATGATACAAATGAAATTATTTACAACACAGAAACTGACTCACAGATATAGAAAACAAGGGAAGGGTGTAGGGAGGAATAAATTACTAGTTTTGTATTAACATACACACTGCTATATATAAAATAGATAAACAAGGACCTACTGTATAGCACAGGGAACTATATTCAATATCATTATACTAACCTATAATGGAAAATAATCAGAATTTATATATATATAAATCATTTTGCTGTACACCTAAAATTAACACATTTTACATCAACTATACTTCAATAAAAATAGAGGATAAAAATGACAGCAAGCATCTTTTTTGACTACAGCAATATGAAACTAAAGATCAACTACAGAAAGAAAAATAGGAACAGACCAAAAATGTGGAGACTAAACAACAACTAACCCATACCAATGGGTTAATGATGAAATCAAAGAAGAAATCAGAAAATACCTTGAGACAAATCATATTAAAAACAGAACATTACAAAATCTATGGGATGCAGCACAAGCAATTCTGAGAGAGAAGTTCATGACAATACAGGTCTTCCTGAAGAAAACAATAAAAATCTCAAGCAAACAACCTAAACTACCACCTAAGTTATCAGAAAAAGAACAAACAAAGGCTAAGGTCAGGGCTTCCCTGGTGGCGCAGTGGTTGAGAGTCCACCTGCCGATGCAGGGGACACAGGTTCATGCCCCAGTCCGGGAGGATCCCACATGCCGCGGAGCGGCTGGGCCTGTGAGCCATGGCCGCTGAGCCTGCACGTCCAGAGCCTGTGCTCTGCAACGGGAGAGGCCGCAACAGTAAGAGGCCCGCGTACCGCAAAAAAAAAAAAAAAAGGCTAAGGTCAGCAGAAGGAAGGAGATAATAAATATCAGAGAGGAAATAAATAAAATAGAGATCAAAAAGACAATAGAAAAGGTGAAACCAAGAGCTGGTTTTTTAAAAAGATAAACAAAATTGACAAATCTTTAGCCAAGCTCATCAAAAAGAGAATCCAAATGAAAATACGAAATGAAAGAAGAGAAATAGCAACCAATAGCACAGTGATACCAAAAAAAAAAAAAGGAGACAATACTATGAACAATTATATGCCAACAAATTGGACAACCTAGAAGAAATGGACAAATTTCTAGAAACATACAGCCTGCAAAACTGAGTCAAGTAAAAACAATTTGAACAGACAGATCACTAAATGTTGAAATGAATTGGTAAGACAGTTTACTGGGGAATTCTTCCAAACATATAAATCAGAACTTATACCTATCTTTCTCAAACTATTCCAAAACATTGGAGAGGAGAGAACACTCCCAAATTCATTCTACAAAGCCAACATTACCCAGATACTAAAACCAGAAAAAGATATTACCAAAAAAAAAATTACAGGCCAATATCTTTGATAAATATAGATGCAAAAATTCTCAAAAAAATGTTAGCAAACAGAATCCAACAATATGTAAAAAGGATTACACACCATGATTAAGCTGGATTTATTCCAGGTCACAAGGATGGTTCAACAAATGCAAATCAATCAGTGTGATACACCACATCAAGAAAAATAAAGACAAAACCTACATGATCATCTCAATAGGTGCAGAAAAGCATTTGACAAAATTCAACATCCATTAATGGTAAAAACTCTCATCAATGTGGGTGTAGAGGGAACATATCTCAACATAATAAAGGCCATTATAACAAACCCACAGCCAACATAACATTCAACTACTCAATGGTGAAAAGCTGAAAGCCTTCCTGTTAAATTCAGGAATAAGACAAGGAGGTCTACTCTCACTGTTTCTATTTAACATAGTATTGGAAGTCCTAGCCACAGCAATTAGACAAGAAAAAGATATAAAATGTATCCAAATTGGAAGGGAAAAAGTAAACTGACACTATTTGCAGATGATATGATGCTCTATATAGAGAACCCTAAAGTCTCCATCCAAAGAACTTAAAAAATGAATTCAGCAAGGTTTCATGAAACAAGGTTAATACACAGAAATCTGTTGCTTTTCAATACACTAAAAATGAAATATCAGAAAGAAAATGTAAAAACACATTGTCATTTAAAATTGCATCAAGAGGATCAGATCAAGATGGTGGAGGAGTAGGAAACGGAGCTCACCTTCTACCACAAATATTAATACATCAAAACCACATCTACTTGTGGAATGATTCTCATAGAACATCTACTGAATGCTGGCAGAAGACCTCAGACTTCCAAAAGGGCAAGAAAATCTCCATATAACTGGGTAGGACAAAAGAAAACTGAAAAAAAGAGAGAAATGAATTGGGATGGGACCTGCACCCCTGGGAGGGAGCTGTGAAAGAGGAAAATATTTCCACACACAGGGAAGTCCCCTCACTGGTGGGGAGATAAGCCAGGACAGAGAGGGAACTTCAAAGCCCTGGAGAAGAGCACAGCCACCTGTTTATGGAGGGCAAAGGGAGAGAGACCTACACAGATGGTCAGTGCCATCACGCAGA